TTGTTAAACAACAGCGGTGAGAGTGGGCATCCCTGTCGTGTTCCTGATCTCAGGGAAAAAGCTCTCAGTTTTTCCCCGTTGAGGATGATGTTAGCTGTGGGCTTTTCATAAATGGCTTTTATGATCTTTAAGTATGTTCCTTCTATCCCGTGAGATGGTTCTTAGTCAAGTCAAGAGTGATGGGCAACAAAATCTGGAGCTTATTCTTATAAGGAGAAGTATGGAAGAAGGGGAGGCTGTGAGAAAGGAATACTTAAAGAGGGCCTGGAATATGTGGAGCAATGTTACTGTTTTAGGGATCCCAGGAGTTGATTGCTTTAATTTTCTTGGAGTAACTTACAAATGGTGTGTGGAGCTACTAATAAATATGTAATGTATCACCAACACCTGTTTTACTGGTGATCTGGGGGGGTTGGCATGGTAGCCATTTTGATCTCTGTCATGTGTAAAAGCCACTGTGGCCTTATTACAATAGCAAGAGAAGTAACTGAGGAAAAATGCTGGAGATAGTTAATGAAAGTTGAGTTGTACGTTATAGGAAAGCGCCCTCATCAGTAATGAATATTTTCTGAACATTCTGCTGGATGCAGGCCAATCTGAGGCAATGGCTTGGTTTCTCTAAATGTGAACTGAACCCTGGTTCAGCCCAGTAGGGCTCTTTGAAATGTCAGCCTGAAAAATTAGGGACAAGGAACTAGAGAAAATCATATTTCTGGAGTGAGGTATGCATCTCTAGTCTGTCAGAAGCCTCAGAAGAATTAGTATAGTAGGCAAGGGCAAGCTAGTGGGCATAATTTATCTGGGCTTTGCAGCTTTTGATAGAAGTCACTCATCAGAAACCATTAAGGAAACCTAGTGACCATGGAGCAGGAAGGTTTTTGACAGGCACATGAGGAATTCCAGATGAACATAGCAAAACCAAAAGCTGGTAAAATTTTATGCAAACTAGTATGAGAGGATGCATGCTGGGGAGGACAGATTCTAGCTACCACCACAATCCATCCCATGATGGATAGGGAAAGTTGCAACCTTTTAGCAAGGTGCAGAGGGCTCCAGGGAGACTGGGCACCCACCTAAACGCAGAGAAGGCAGATAAGGTTGTTGGACTTAAGGAATGGAAGTGATGGAAAAGACATCATGTAGTAAATGTAAATAATTCTTCATCACCTGAAATAGTGCATTCCATTTTTGTTATTTCATCTAAGGGGATAGAAGAGGTTCCTCCCCCCCCCACCCCCCCGCAAAAGCCAATGAAAAATGATGGGTATGGTTTAGATCAAATAAAGGCAGAATCCTATTAGAGTGATCCTGTATAGGCTCACAGAGTTTGTAATTCTGTCTTGTGGATGAGAAGTAGATTGCTTTCAGTTTAAAAAACGTGACCAGCACAACAGGCATATAGTGTTAAGGAAAATCAGTATCTGGTAGAATAGAAATTTTCACAGCATTAAGATCCTGGCCTTCTCGGTTTGCCCAGTCTCCTGTAATGACGTGACTCATTCCCCAGTTGGACATGATGTTTCCCAGAAATTACAGACTTGTTTATTGTCCAGTTGCAAATTGATCCTTCTCGTTTTCTTTTTTTTCTTAAAGAGTTTTCCTTCAAAATGATAAAAATGTTGAAGAAGCAAATACATAGTTATCGATCATGTAGCCCTCACTGTATGCTAGATACTATGCTAAGGATTTTACATGTCTTAATTCATTTTTAAGTCTTATGGCAACCCTGAGAAAGAAAATAGTGTCCCCATTTTGAAGATGAGGAAGTTGAGCTTAGGTTAATAAAGGTGCTTAACTTGTCACAATTAGTAAGTAGAGGAGCTAGAACCCAAACCTTTGCTTTTAGCCACCTTCCCTTTTCCTCAACTGCTAAAGATAGGTTGTTCTTGGTAATCAGATGATCTTTATTATTACCTAAAACTGGACTTTTGGGACGGTGAGTGACAATGACGTTTTAAAGATTATGCCAAGAAACAGTGGCCTGCTCCTTCTAGTGTTGTTCTCTTCATTGTGGCATCTCTAAGTCAGCCTACTGCCAATTTCTTTTCCAAGGACCCACTTGCATTGGACCTTGTCTGACATCTGCAGCATCAGCAGGATTTGACTACTGGTTATAGGAAGCAGTGTAGAGAGCCTTCCTGTTTCAGATCAAGTGGCAAATGGAGTGGATTTTACCTCCTTGGGTTTTGTTGTAGAAAACATTGTAAACATTTGGGCTCTTAAGAAAGTAAAGCTGTCTCTTTTTCTATTCCCAGTTGACATTCAAAAGATACCCTCAGAAACTTGATTAAATAAAGTCTATGTGGGGGGTTTCCAAGTTTCTCAGTGATGAGTTTTCTCGGGTGCTGTAGAAACTACCAATGTTGTTCTTTGCTTCCCTTGGGTTAAAATTGGTGGCTGATCTATGTGAGGTCTTTCCTTACATCCCTTGTGTATGTTTTTAAGGTGAGCAGGTCATTGGTTTTCATTCCACTGGTAGGATATGGCCCAACTGCATAATGAGTTTAAATATATGTCCATTTCCATATGCTGCCCAGCTGAGATTGGGTCTGGGAAAACTCAAGAAATCTTCCAATGTTGTAAGTGATGGGACAATCATTAAATCCCAGTGTTCTGACCAGATTGTAGTTTGGGTAATTACATCTTTTTTTTCAGTTCCCCTGCAGTGTTATTTGGGTATCAGATCCATAAATGGCCTCTCTGGCTGTTAAGCAGCTGCCACTTTCCACCCCCAAGGTGGCTTTGTTTTACGGGTGGGTGAATCAGTCCTTGCATATAGTTTGTGGAATGGTTAGGGAGCCTTTGGGATGAGACTGTAAGTTAACAACTTATACATCTGTGCCTTATGGCAAAGAAGCTTTTATGTTCCCCCAAGACTGCTGTCCCTATGGACTCAGATTATTGGTAGGATAGGACGAAATGAGTTTTGTGGAGTGTTCACTTCTTAGAAATAAATAAGATGGAAAGAAGGGAGAAGTGGCAGACATAGGCCTGGACCGATCCAGCCTAGAGGAAAATGCAAGTAGAACAGAACTGGTGTGTGTGTGTGTGTGTGTGTGTGTGTGTGTGTGTGTGTGGTGATTGCCCATGCACACTGAGAGATTTACTGGAAATTGGGGGAGTCAGTTGGCAGAATGGGTTTGATCTGGGTATTAGGAGCATCACTATAGAGAGAGGGCCTTATGGAACCATTTTTGTTAACACTTTGTTAAATAACTAATGGGTTATTAACTAAGTCAACTCACCTTGAATCTCTTCTCTTATTTAACAGTCTGTGAATCCTTATATTGTGAAGCTGTCTATCGTGGATGATGAGGCTACGCTCAATGTGAGTATCTAGATCCTTGTATGTTGTTTTAAGTACTTATGTTTGTTTAAGTACTTGATATTTAGAACAGAGAGCAGAGAGCTATTGTGTTAATTTCATCTGGCTATAAAGAGGGAATCGGTCTTTTCCTTTTAGAGCATCAGTGTGACTATTTTATTGTCTTTAATCTTCTCATCATGGAAGGAAGGTGTGAAGAGACGTTTGTTTGCTAATCATGATGAAATGGTTGGTTATGTTTCATGTTACAGTGTGCTGAGGTTGATGATCCTATAGAGTCAGTAAGTTACATTCCCAAGAAGGCTTAGATGATATATCAAATCACCACGATGTATATACTTTAGATATCTTACAATTTTGTATGTCAGTAAAGATGAAATAAAAAAAAAAGACACAGCGAGGCTTAGAAGACTAACTGATGGGAGATCCCTTCTTGTAGAACTAGCTAGATGGCATTTGCAGCCCAACTTGGTGAAGCTGAAGCATGGAGGATGGTCTCTGTATCTGTTACATATGTCCTTGAAAGTTTGGGATTGAATATCTGATCTCTGACTAAGGGAGGAAGAAGATGACCAGGTGTCAGGCATATTGCCCTCTTCATTCTTCTAATTTATCTTATGAAAAAAAAAGCACACATGATTCATCCCATGGCCTTACTTGATCTTTGTGTCATGTTTATTAGCGGGTTCTAAAGGGAAAGTGGATAAGAAGATGGATGCATCTTCCTGGTACCTTCCTGTTTTCCTGTGGCCTGAAAGAGAGTGGCTTGTCTCTAAGCACCTTCATTTAGCGTGAGACTCATTGTCGCTCTTACTGTGACTGTTTTAGAGACATGAGAGCTTTTTGTTTGAAGATTCTAACTTTGTCTTATCTTTTGAGGTGAAAATGATCCCAGTGAAATTGTCAGTGATCTGGGCTGGTCTGTTTTGTGTCCCCCACCCCCTTGTTACTCTATTAAAGTAACATTAAGATAGTGAGATCAGGAAAATCTGGACCCCAGGACTGTATTTAGTGTTTTCCCTGGCGTGGCATCACCACCAGCCCCTTATTTCACCTGTGCTATCCTTTTTCTTTCTAGGGAATGGGACTTGTGATTGCCCAGGCTTTATCTGAGTATAATAGGTAAGTCCACTGTTCCAGAAGGGAAGGGTCTAATTTTCGTTTGAATTGGTTGAGTAGAAAACAGGTTTGCTCCAGTGCTTGGGTGAATTTCCCTTACCTATCCTAGAAGAGTATTCTTAGATTTAGCTTCTGGTAGACATATTTGCTCTAAGCTCAGCTTGATGGCCTTAGCAAAGGTTGTTTCTTTTTTCTTTCTTTCTTTCTTTCTTTCTTTCTTTCT